CATCGTCGACTAATTTGAAGGGAATAAGATAGCGGATACATACGTTGATATCACAGTCTCAAACGTGGGATCATCAGGGCATACCTGAGTTCATTCGAGTTAGTGATGCCCTTCGCAGGTGGAATAATAATGACATACAGTCTTCACGACGTTCAGAATTTCCGTGAGCCGAGAGGCAAGCCTTTTGACGTGTCGAAGTCTGATCTCCTGCGACGATTTTTGCGCTACGACCGAGAACAAACTTTCTTCAATATCGCCCATGACGAGAGCCATATCGACAAAGGCGCCATAGAGTCTGGTGTGGCGATGTTAGTCGCAGGCGTCCACACTAAGGCTCGTGGATACTAACAAGCTCAGTATCCCAGATCGGTCCCGCTGAGCAGGTAAATGATGAAGGTCACTCGTCACATCAAACTGGCGTATCGTGGGAGATTTCCCGCATGTCATCGCAAGTCCCTTTTCCCATATATAAATGTGCCAGAAAATTTCAAGCTCTCTTCGCACGTAATTCCTTCTGTTCTCGTCACTTCTGGTTAAACGGTGAAGGCCCAGGTCTAGGGCCGCCCTCGCAGCGCCGCTGATTAGCCTCCACGCAATCGTGCTGTGTCCTTGCTTGACGTAGAAGTTTGCCTACGCGGTCAGAACAAATCGCCCGTGACTCTATCAACTCCATAGGTGCGGTACTCACAAGGACTGCAAGGGCACGGCACGATTCCAAAGACGGCTCTGAGCACAATCGGAGACGTTGCAGTGCGCTTTCGGCATTGGACTGTAGAATGTTGCTGTGCGCACGCATCGCATCCACCGTGGTCCCTAGGCGCCTGCAGTTGGCCTCGCTAATGCCCACGAAGAGGTTATAGAGGCCAACGTTGACGCATATCCACGTCCAGAGCGAGATCGGCTCCGTCGCGAAGTAGATGTCTCGGCACATGGCTATGAATTCGTCTTCCGAAAAAAGTGGTAAATCTACAAAGGTCCGTTGCTCTTCTATTTTCACTAGGCGCAAGATCTTGAGAACTATGTCGCTCGGCGGCAGCGGTATGTTTCCTAGATCGAGATTGTTAGATTCTAGAAAAGTATTCCTCGCCGATGGGGTGCCTTTGTCGTTGCCGCGGTCGTTTTGGCTCTCCAGGGACGCGCTCGAAGGGGATGCGAGTTCAGAACATAGAAGCGTGGCCTCTAATGTCGTTTTAATTTGGTGAGCTTGAGACTTGAACGACGTACGTCCATGATAGCCTTCTTGGACACTGTCTAGGATCGGCACCTGCTCGTCAATTATGGATTGCGGAGTGTAGGCCGCTGCATCCGAAGAGACTGTCTGCGAGCCCGATGCGACCGATGCCGCGTCTCTGTTCAACATGAGAGCTTGAAGCATCTCCCTGACTTCTGCGAGCTGACGACTGACATCTTGCACAGCGTCTTCATATCTGGTTGACAAGATAACCCGTTGCCGCTTCTCGCCAGCTCGGTGCGTGGTCCGGCACGCAACGTTGAGCGTGATGCAGCTGGCGCATGGGGACTTTCGATCACACCTGGTCTATTTGGACGGTCAGTTTACCCGAAAGCCTCGACCTAAGAGACTTACACACCTTACGAGTCTTGCAATTATCGCACTGCAAGTTTCGTATCGTTAGCATCTAGACCAGAGACATTCCACATCCTATACTCATGATCGAAGGTCCATTCTCACCGCTGGTCTTCGCTCCACCGGGATATTCTGTTCAATTTCACTCATTTTGTAGGAGAACTAGGGGGAAAATATATTTTGAAGGCACTGTGAACCAGGAAATGATAATGGTGATTATAACAGATCACCAGTTATCTACCCGCCTATATAGATATCTTCTACGTAGTGCATCATTTAGCAGCCCCATTAGTGGGGATCTAGCATTGATTGCCATTAAACCAGACTAGGCAGCAGTAAAAGGCAATAATAATAGATTCATCTACCTGTACAGAGTACTCCGTATAGCTCAAAATATCATTACGCATAGTTCAGTCACTGTTAATCTAAGACCATCTTTCCACGAATTGGTTATAGCACCCTACACTAGATTCGCCGCAAGACCGTAGGATAGATACAGTGTGGATAGGTAACTACGAGAACTGACGATTTTAACGATCCCAAATCTTGACGGCTCGGAATTGCGCTACCTATCTCTCCCTCTAAATTCTATCTATGTCTAATAAAACAAGAGAACCACACTTTCAATGGCAGAAAGAAACGGAATAAATGCGGAATTACACCTATTGGACACTTGAAATCTTGTACCCTCCCGAGACCCGCGTCTGGAAGACTCCGGTGGGATCATACTTAGCGGCAGCGTCTTTCATGAGCTGGATGTTCGAAGCGCCATAGCTTCCAAGGGGGTCTTGGTCGCTATCCGCGTAGTTCAAGTAGATGAAGCCCATGTCTCCTTGCACCGATTTGGCGAAGTCGGTAACATTGGCCTTCATCTCCTTCAAGAGCGCGTGGGCTTTTTCCCGCGGCGCATCATCCGTGAGAATCCCTACTCCGGCAGTGTACAGGAGAGCGTTGTTCTTGAGGTCGTCCAGCCCGAGGACGTTGCCGCCCCGCTGGCTGCCGATTGGCCATCGGTAAGAAGGCAGCGGTTGTAGGAACATCTGCGTGAAGAAGTCTTCTGGCGCCATTAGTTTCTTCAGCGACTCGACGAATTCTGCATGTAGCTCAACGGCGCGGTTCGCGATTCGCTTGTCGTTGTTGAAAGTCAATGTCGTGCCATAACTCCTGTCTCCCTTGTCAGCCAACTAGTCTCATTAGCTCGGAATTGGGACACTAACCAGGCGCCGGATTGGACCTGGGATGCAGCGGCTGCCTCTGCAATATTTTCTTTGACCGTTAAATTCAGGAATGCTGGCAGGGCTTTCGCCTCGTCAAAGGGCGTCGTGTTATTCGTAACGCCGGCAGTATTCACGTGGACGCCAACAGCAAATATGTCCGGGCTATCCTTCGTATCGTGGCTAAAGAAGGTGAAGAAGGCGTCGTCGGCGAGTGACTCGTCAGAATCAGCGAAACCGACAACTGCATCGACGAGGGCGTATGAATAGTTGCGAGAGAAGAAACGGGTGTCGCTGAATAGATCCGGCGCTGGGACAGCCTCCATGTCGTATCGCGTCACGATTCCAAAGTTGCTGCTGCCCCCCTTGAGAGCCTGCCACAGATCGGCGTTCTCTGTCTTGTTCGCATTTACGATGGACCCATTACCCAGAACCACCTCGAAGTTTATCACACTGTCGCAGCCAAACCCTTGTCGCCCAGAGTAGTATGAGTTACCGCCACCTAGGAGAAAGCCGCCAACACCAACATCGCCATCTCGGCCACCCACGGCAGTGATACCGTACTTTATGAGGTCTTTATACACATTCTGCCATTTCCCTCCGGGCCCGATGCTCGCAATGTTGGTTTCGGGGTTATAGGTCGTCGAATTCAGGCGGCTTAAGTCAATAGTCACGCCGTTGGCGGTACTGCTGGACCCCGTCGAGCTATGGCCGCCGCTGCGCACGGCGATGGTCGTATCGTTGGCGCATGTGCTTGCCTTGGTCAGAGTTGTGAGCGCCGTGGCGACCTCGTCACTTGTGTGAGGCAAGACAAAGCAGTCGGCTGTTTGACGACTGTTCTTGGCCCACCACGAATTGACTTCGCTGGTATAATCCGTGTCGTTGGGTGAGATCAATCGATCCCCGAGACCAGCAAATTCCAAGGCCTCGCACTGGTAAATCTTCAGCACCGAGATTATAGTAAATCATTCGTCATGTCGTTACGGTTTGACTTACAGGTGATGTCGCTGCTCGCGCTGTAACACCGCCGAGCAGTGCAACAGTGGCGACAGAGTATTTCATCATTATTGACTGATACGTAACGAGAGAGATAGGATAATTTGGCCTTGTAAGGAATGCTAGGAACACAATTGGATGAGCGCTTTAGAAAGTAAAAGATCAAAATAGAGATACGAGGATTTCGTACACTGGCTTGAGCTGCTTTAACCTTCTAGCTATGAGCCGGGAGTATTGCTTTATATATGCCTCTGTTTCTCGCCATTTTCGTGCTCCCCTAACGGCCTTCGACCTAGTAACACTCTCAAAACTACTGTAAGCTTCTCCGATTCCGTCATAAAGGACCACTACACTTGATGCCAGAGAAGTTTTGAACACACGAGGTAAGATGTCAGGCGCAGGCCGAGGGCCCGGTGGGAAATGTGGACACGACAGCTATGATCCGAACACATAATTCGACAGATTGATCCTAGCCGCTAGCTAATGAATAATTAAGGATGATTGTATTTGTCTAGGAGAACCGTGCTAAGATTGAGATATTCTTCACGACGTAGGCAGACGACGTGGGCAGACGAAGGATTCTGCGAAAGACTACTACAACTCGAAGTTGTACATGAAATAACAGATATCTGGCGGAGGCCGAGGGCCCGATGAATAAATATGGATAATAGCATGACCTTAGCGTATGGGTTGATAATTTCTTTGACGGTCGCCTCGGCCGGTAGCTCATAATATTCAACGGGCGGCTTTGCGTATTCGCGTGGCTATGCTTACGCAATAGATTGAGATGACGGACTAAGCAACACATGATATCATGTATGCTTTAGAAGTCTTAATATCCAGTTCTATGTATGCTTCTTTCCTCTGTTCTGTAAAACCACATGTAAGTCCAACTAAGGTATGTTTAGGAAAAGATGAACTACTTAAGGCTTTCACCCTGCATTAAGCAGGTACTGTATGTACATTTCATTTGAAAATGGGGAGATGCGCCGTACTTAGCACATCGGATTCTCGGAAGCGATGCTCTATTCGGTATTCAGCTTACTGCGTAAACGGTTAGCCAAGAGGGTCTAACGGGCTCTGCCGCTTCTGACCGCCTTTTCCGAGTCTAACCTAATGCCCCTAGTGTAATGCGCTACCCGAGCTAAGTTTTTCTCCTCCACTACCCTACTTAGAATGTCATTAACAAGCGACACTTCAACACTGGACCCATAGCTCAGCGGTAGAGCATCTGATTCCAGTTTGAGACTTTACCATTACGGAGCACTTCCACTCCGGCTAAGTAAATGTCAACTGCCTCCAGAAGGTCATCCGTTCAAATCGGGTTGGGTTCAATTCCCTATATTACCGTTCGTCCTAAACAAGGATCGGTAATTCAAGGTTTTTTTTGGTGTTTTTTTTTTCCCATTACCTTAGAACAGATCTTTTTTTCTTTTTCCCTTCCACCCGAGCAACGGGGTATCTACACATTAATCTGCTGACTGGCCCGCCCAGGGAGCTGTGGCGCAACGGTAGCGCGTCGGATTCCAGTCCCGAAGGTTGTCCGTTCAAATCGGGCCAGCTTCATCTGTTTTTTTTCTCTTTTCTTCTTTTTTCTTTCTTGGTTCCTTTTCCCACTATATATAGTTATATGTAGTGGACAGAAACAACATCTCATGGAGATTGCTACGCAATAAGTATCTTATGGAGCACTTCATCCCTTGCTACCTGCATCTCTTTAATAGCGCTTGAGACTTCTGGGGAATTTCGGTTCTACTTGTCCAATACTTCAGACGGCAGAGTTTAGGTACCAAGTAACCACTCCATTCAACCCTGGCTAATAATAATCACCTATCTGATTGCAGACTGATGTCTCTATCCACTCTGTGATAGCCTCCTCTAATCCCAAGTCTGGGGTTGCGCCGTTCAGTCAAGGAGTGCCTAGTCTAGGTCACCTTGTTCTCTCCTGGGCTCGTTAAAGTAATGGTGTATAGGATCAGAAAATGAATTAAAAAGCTATTTTTGATAAATACCCCGCAATTGAAGTTAGAGATAGGAGAATTGAATCTCCCCAGGTACGCGACACAGCTCAGAGGCTACTCAGAGGCTAGCTATTCAGGGGCTACTAGAAGCCGTCTGCCACAACACATTACCCTAACCCTTTTTCGGATCTAACCCTATTCATTAGAACTCGCTACACGACAAAACTACAGCAGTGGAAAATGGTAAAGCATTGAATGCTACGCCCAAGAAGCTAACGTGAACACTCCAAGTTAGAGTCAGTGGTCTTCCACCTGAATCCAGGAACCAAGGAGCTAGTGTTTCAATCAAAGAGGCTGCCTCCGGGCGTTCACTAAGCTGCACGCCTTTTGTGTACAATAATTACATCACTTCAGGTCTTCTACCAAAAGCATATATGTGTCAGCAAGTTTGTGTACAACACCAGAGGTAATGTCGCTATTCCGTCTAGACATTGATCTATAGTGAATTTCACTGTAAGGCAAAAAGGCACTAGGTTTGATATAATTAGAGTAGGAAAATATTCTACTGTAGAATCGTTGTACCAATTTGTTATAACCAGGAAATTACTAGCAGCATACAAATAAATGTGAGGAAATTAAAAGCAATAGCTAAGGTACAGCACTTATAACTTGTTGAGGATGATAAGGATAATAGCCAAAAGGCTTTTTGTTTTGTTTTTTGTACACTTACCTGATATCTAACTCAAAAACTTCTCTTATCAGTAGTAAAGATTTAGGATCAATGAAGTCAAGTTATGACTGCTGGGATATAATAGATTTTGTGACCATCAGGGTATCTTTATCATGGGTTCCCAGCAAGAACCTCGTGATTCGCGGGAATAAAATACTCGAAGCCAATATCTGAGCTTGCGTTGTTCCATCATTCAAGATCCGAGCAAAATAAGTGAAGGGAACCGCGGACACCCACTTCTAGATTCACAAAACTTCCCAGTCACACTTGATCAGTCCTTGGGGCACAGTGAACTATCAGCTCCAATTCACTGCCTTGAGGGAGTCTTCATAATGATCATATTTAATCGTTATCTAGATAAAGAAAATTCAGGTTCTAGATCATTATTAGGAGCAAACATTGAATGTACACAATGGAGTTACACAATAGAAGTCACTCACAGTGCGAAGCAGACCCTGGCAACGGAGGGTTGGCGGGGAGCACCAGCTCATAAAAGGCACATGATTTTATCGATTTATACGCTATTAGCCCCTATTAACTTGCTATCAGCCTGTGTGTGGGCATATATAGCTAGGAAGTAAACACAGTACCAATATCATTCTCTTATACCCAGTATACCTTAGCATGGGCCACACATATGTTTCCCTCACAGTTAGCATTTGTATTGCTTGTGTACTTCGTAGGTCACACTCGCAGTCAGGTTACTGGCATTCGCTCTTCTTGTCTTCTCTGTCTATTATATTTCTCTTGCAAAAACGATTCAGGGAACCCAACAACAACTGTTATTATATAAGCCTTTACTCTAACGGCTATTTCCTAACCTTGGTAATGTTTAGCTTAATGCTTGGCAATACAGGCAATTTATATCTGGATTTACGAAAACCGGCCCCTGGGACAGAAAAATCGGAATTTTCAGTATGGCCCAATGAGGCTCAACAAGTCAGCTCGATCTCTCTGAGGATAGGTTACTCGGGGCAGATAAAGCCTGGAGTGAATTCGGAGCTTCAATCTTCTCTCCCTTTTCGAGGCCGACGAGTGACAGGGCTTTCATACGCTGTAAGTGGACGACATATTATCTGTCAAGATTTAGATACTTGTCAGAGATTTGATTTGAAGGCCAGTATGCCTCATTGGCGATAAGCCTCAATCATTTCCGTGAAGTAGGTAGATTGAATTATTGGTATTATTTCTGACAAAGATACTGCATCTCTGGGCTTAATAGGCTAAGACGATGGTAGCTACAGGCAATATTGCAGCTCTCCAGCTATCACATATAGAGAAGCTGTATGGTGTACCTAGAAAATAGACGAGAAACTACATGGCTAAGATTCAAGGACGTTTCCTTACTCCTGTAGCATTAACCCTGAACTAATAATCCTGATTTGAACGATAGCTCAGAATAGGCAGGTCTCTATCACGCCTCATATTCAAGGCGCCTAGCATGGATTATATAAATATCTTCAGTATGATTCTTATCTTTTCTCCTCTTGATCAACACTGCTACATCTTACCAGGAGTCACTGGCTGGCTAGACACACAGAGGACGTCCAATAGACCTGGGGGGGTACGTACCTGGAGGTACATGTTCCAGAAGATACGTACATTGTAGGTACTGTTATTGTTATTGTGCTTGGCAACATTTTTTCTATTGACTCGCTGCCATTCAATGACTACATTCTACTTCCTCTGAGAGCTTGATTCCCTCCAGTATTCTACTTTCATCAGGCTCCATTCATTACCTCTCATCTCCCATATCCATCTTCATCTCTGTCCACATACACCGCCGTCACTCTTGATCTTCCTCCTGATTCCTTAGCTATTCCCTAATCTAGAAACCCTCCTCACAGGCAATCTCCGCAAGATGTCGTCGTTCAACGGCTTCCCGCATCTTGCAGTGAGTGTTATTCTTGACCAAGTTGCTGCCCAGCTCGATGGCACGACCGCCGTGGTGAAGATTCCGACGGCAACATTCAGTGGTCTCGACAAGAATGGCGAGGAAATCATAAAAAGAGAGGTCAGGTAAGTAATAATTTCACCCTTCTTGTTACATTGGCTGCTCTTGTCGCCTTCGCACTTCCTGTCACTTTCGCTCCTCGTGTTTAAAGTGATACTAGCCATATCTCTGATACTCCGTCACGCTATCTTCATTTTCTTACTCGTCTATTTAATGATTTAGTTTAGCACTTGGTCACCCAGTCGAGTTCTACTTCGACCAACAGAACGATAAACGGGTATATCTAGCAAATATTGCTAGTATTAACCTCCACCGACCATGCGTAGCAAGAATAATTCCAGGTTTACGCCTGCCAATGTTATTCCAGGTAGCTGTTCACTGTCCCGAAGTCATCAATCACCCTTCTGGCGGTATTCAGCACTTCCAATCTATGCCATCCACTCAGGCTCCCCAGCCTTCATTACCCCCAGCCCCTCTACTCGAGGCCAAAACCAGCTTGAAACGTGCCAGGGCGTCAGAAACTACGAAAGAAGCGGCTGAATCTGGCTCTGAATCTGGCACGGCACGAAAGAAAAGCAAGATCTCCGACCTAAAATCTCCAAATTCCTTCTTTCTCTTCAGGCAACACGAATGTGCGATCCTAGCCAAGGAAAACCCAGGAATGTGGAATGGGGATATATGTGAGCTTAACCTAATCTACACAGAAATTTTGATGAGTAGCTTTTTGGACTTACTGTCATTCTAGCCAAAGCCCTTGGCGAAAAGTGGAATGCAATGAAGCCAGAGGAAAAGGAGCCGTGGAAATTGAAGGCTGCAGAGCTTCGGGCCCAGCGACGCAATTCCATTGCTAACCTGGACCAAGCTAAAGGTAAAGAACAGACGAGTAACAAAGAACCACCTCAGAGAGGTTCAGAGCATCACGGAATGCATCAGCACGTGGATCGCCAATATCCCCAGGTGTATCAGACTAGTCTTGCGTCCTTGGAGCATTCAGTACAGCTCCCGGTCTATAATACTCCCCAGTCTATGCATTCCCAGGCTCATGGGAGAGGTTCTCTCTCCTTAAGTTCCGTCTCCTCGGGATCGACCTCTTCATCCTATTTCTCCTCCGAATACTCGGCGCAGTCTCAAGCTTACAATTCGCTCGATATCTCCGGAGAGAATTCACACGATAAACCTCAACATATCCAGGCTCCTGAAGTTCCAACTGCACAGAATTTGCAACAGGTTCCGATCGATAATACCATAGAGAACCCTGGACAGAGCTGGTATCCCCCAAATCTCGACGTCACCGACCCCTCTCTCCCAAGTTCTGCACAGGTTCCGGAGAACGAGCTTCCGGCTATCCAAGAGCAGCCAGTGAACGAGAATGATATCTTTTACGGAGCGTTCGAGGAAGATGGTATCTGGGACTTGGTGAATTTCGAATTTCCCGCTTCTGAACAAACTAAGGACTAAAATGGGGTTGAGTTCGTTCAGCTCGGAAGATACCTCACACTCCAACTTTGGCTTGGGCACTACTCGGTTAAATTGGAGTTATTTCTCAGGATTTGTGTTACGGTCTTTGCTCTTTAGCGGACACGGCCTACACAAGCAACTCGATTTCAGGCTTTAAGCCTCCACTTTCATGGAGCCATGGTTAACGTTATGCTTTTGACGGCGGCGTTCCATTATAGCACTACAGATTTG